TGATACCACGTTCGCCATGTGGATCACATTCGGGCCCGGTTTTTGATGGCCCCCCTGCGGAACATCTGCCGTTTTTTGAAGTGCAGGATATCAGAAGTTGTACGCTTTCTCTTCGCCGCGAAAATTCTTTGTCGAATTTCAACCACGACGCGTACGTAAATCTATCATTCGATCGATCGGTTTGCAATTTTGAATAATAAATTCTCACATGACACAAACACCATCTGCATGTAAAAACTTTATTTATGAATTAATAATCTCCAAACAATCTTCGCGAGAATATATTATTTTTTGCGATTAATAAAATGTGATAATTTTTATTAATTTTTATAAATTTATTAAAAAAGAGACCGAGAGAGCGTAAAATGGCGTAAATAATATATAGAATAATATAAAGGAAAATATAATTATACTTAATTATTTATGAAATATGTGTGTGTATGTTTCTAATATATATTCTTTTTGTAACATATATCCCTTTTCATCTGTTAATTTGATTCTAATTATCCTCAACATTTTAAATTATATCATCAAATGTATGATGCTTGCCTCTCATGAATTTGCGCAAAAGTGTCGCTGTCACAAATGATCGCGTGTGATATTTAAATACGAATTAATGCTATTTAAAAAATATCCGACGGATAAAATTGATCGCGGAGTCAAATATTCAGGCTCAAAAAATTCTCTCCCTCTTCTTTTTACTGAACAAATTAATTTATTTGATTGCGTACCGAATCGTGATTCTATGTTTTATTTGTTTGCATAAGAGGGGTCACGGCCGATAAAATAAAATCGGCCCGATACGATACGCATAACATAGCATTGTTTCGATCTTTATATACGTTTCCGACTCGGAAATTCCGAGTGCATTCACGAAACGACGGATAACACTCAAGTAAGCATCGAGAGCTTTCTCGAATGCCTTCAAACGGAAGCATAAAACTGAAACGTTTGTCTTTTTTATACTCTTTCTTACATGAGCTCACGATGAAGATTAGTGTACATATACAGGGTGTCCGGTAACTAACGGACCAACGATTACAAATGGATTCTTTGGTCAATTTGGGAACGATTTTTCCTCAGCGAAAATGTCGAAAAAGTCATCATTTTTTACAACTTTCCAATATTCGTCATTATGTATCTTTATAACTAAGTCTCAAATTAAAATTTTATTATAGTAAACTCTACCTGAAATTAACCGAAGAATGTAATTATGTTAAACTTTTAACTCCAAAACGTTTAGTTTTCAAAAGACCCATTTTTTTCAATCGCTTATAACTCGAAAATTATTGACTTCTCAACATTTTTGATAAGAAAAAATCGTCTCCAAATTGGCCAGAAAATCCGCTCTTAATCATTGGTCCGTTAGATACCGGTCACCCTGTATAACAAAGGATATTATCAGTCGAGATGACAGTCTGGGTTTGCGAAAGCTCACGCGGATAATCATTCCCTATTTGTTTCTGATGAACAAAAGAGAACGCCGATGATATTTTTAACATTCCCCATACCAAGTGAATCATTCACAAGATTCCTCGTTCAACGACTTCTTCTAAACAAAGAGCTCTCAAATAACGAAGAAATTTGTCGTCGACGAGGTGACGAAACACGAGAACCAGACCTCAAAGTTGTTAGTTTCCTTATCGGTTATTAAACCGATCAACGACACTTCTACAGGAATTTCACGACATATTTATGGTATCGTTGAAAGAGAAAGGAAAAAACACAAAAAATTGATATCTACATTTGAGTGCATTATTATGCATATGTAAAATGCACAGAGAGAATTCTCTTGAAAATTTACCCTGAAAATCATGATAATCATGGGACAATATGATATTGAAAGAATTTTATACGAGAATTATATTTGAAAATTATATAGAATTATACAGAATTTTATAATATTTTTATTGCGATAAATATGAATTCCAATATCATATATTGGCCCACAATTGCCATAATTTTCCGGGTAAATTCTAAGAGAAAATTCTCTCCGTGTACCGATTAATTTTCAGTACATATATTGTGTAACATTTAATTATTATTTTTTCTGCTAACAATTTTCTTTTCGGAATACTATACTTTCTCTTTTCGGCACAATCCAAGATACACACAGAGAGTCTGAAAGTTCACGAGCTTAGCACAATCTCTTTCGAGATGCACACGCACGTAATGATGGTTCGACACACTATATTTGCAATTTATTTCTCACCTGAGGCAGACATGCCTGTTTCGGCGATAACCCCTCGGAACTTCCGGCGGCGAGTGCGTGGTTGTGTGTGTGTGTGCAGAATCGGTCCCGTCGTCGGCTCGTCGCCGGATTTCGAATGAATAAACATAGCCTAAACCGCGACAGTGGGTCCCTGGGGGCGCGTCGCATCATTTCACGGTCGTTCCGCTCCGAAATTCGTGACTTCACTTCCGTTTACTACGCTCGGCGCATCGCGCCGGGTGCGTTGACCCTTTTCGAAGGTCGTCGTACCTTTCTACGTTCGTGACTCGCTCGGCTTCGTGGATCGACCTTAATCTCTCGTCGGTTCGCGACGGCTCGTTCACCTCTTTTTTTCCTCCCTTCTTTCTCTCCTTTGTTGATTCTACTACTCGAAGAAGCTCGATGGTGTAATTAACGTCCTCGTATACGCTAATTTTCGCGGATCGAAGGAAAGGTGTACAAAAAAAAAAAAAAATGGTTATCATTTTTCGGGAAATACACGCTGAATTTTAGAGGCGACGATTTTAATTTTTTTAATGTTTTATGTTAAACCGAAAGTTATTTTTTGTGTCAGAAAATCAAATAAATTAAATTAATAAAATGACATTGTTAATAATTCATAAATCTTTTTGTATTTTTAATTGTATTTTATTGACGTTCCTTAAAATAGTTTTTAAAATAAATTCATTTATTTATCTATATATACGCTATATATTACCTTCGTTTGTTGGACAAGTCAGAAAGTTATGTAAATGCAAGAATTTTTATAATTGTTTGCTTTCTTGATTCGACTATAGAAATCATACGATGTCGCAATGAACGGATCCAACTGCTTGAAAATACATATATGAGTGGCGCTTAAAGAGGCGACACACTTGAAATAATGGGTTTGTTTCGGCCGTTTATCGATGCTCTCGTTTATTTTTTCGTTTACTTATTCTCGTTTATTTTCTGTTTGGCTCATACTCCCCCTTTCACACACACACACACACACACACACACACACACGCACACACGAGAATGTGTTGCAGGACTCTGTAGGAAAGTTGTCTCGCACGAACAAATGAATTTAGCAGGCTATAACGAAGCTAACGATTGCGACCCGATTAGTACGAGATTTCTCGTCCCACCCTATGTAAAAGCAATTAAAACCAGTTGCAATCAAAAATAAATAAATCGCCCAATATAATGATAATGATAATGTATAAAAATTAATGAATGATAAAATAATGGTTATAAAAAATTATCGCTAAAGTACTTGTATAATAAATAAAATAGTGTAATATATAGGATTGCCTCCAATTTCCTATAATTTTTTTTTCTCATTTAATCTCTAAACTTATATAGGATTTTTCCTATCGATATTACATACAGAGTGTCCGGTAACTAACGGACCAATGATTAAAGGCGGATTTTCCGGCTAATTTGGAGACGATTTTTCCTTAGCAAAAATGTTGAGAAGTCAACAATTTTCGAGTTATAAGCGATTGAAAAAAAATGGTTTTTTGAAAACTAAACGTTTCGGAGTTAAAAGTCTAACATAATTACATTTTTCAGTTAATTTCAGGTAGAGTTTACTATAATAAAATTTTAATTTGAGGCTTAGAGTTATAAAGATACATAATGACGAATATTGGAAAGTTGTAAAAAATGCTGACCTTTTTCGACATTTTCGCTGAGGAAAAATCGTTCCCAAATTGACCAAAGAATCCATTTGTAATCGTTGGTCCGTTAGTCACCGGACACCCTGTATATATATTATGATCGCTAGCTTGATAAAATTCAACGTATCGATACATTTGTCTCCTTCGATTGTGACAAATGTATTTATATTGATCTAAATATTTCTCTGTTATGTCCTTTTTATATCAATGTATCACGCGATCGTGCAGATCGAAAACTCATTTTCCTCATCCTTCTCCATCTCCTGCTTCCTCTCTCCCCATTCAAAAACGAGGAATTACTTTATCTGTCTGGGCAGACGATATGGCACATGGCGACGACCGAAAATGGGATTTCGGTCGCGCATCAAATTCTCTCTCGCTCTCTCTCGCTCTGCTACTCTGATTCTCGTAAATCGAAATCGTCGGTTTGCGGTAACGACAACACTCGACAATGAAATCGAACCTGTAGCCGTAAACGGACTAATTGCAGGGATAATAATTATTCTCGGAACTGGCCTAGAAGAGGACTGGGAGAGACTAACGAGGGACCGTCATCTCTCATTCGCGTTTCCAGATGCAAGCTTGCAAGCATTATTTAGTCGATCATTCTCCAATAACTCATCCCGTCCATGCTTTCCCTCTATCGCGAAATTAAAAATTAAATCGATCTGTTTCCCGCTCTTTTTTCCTTCACGAGAGGTTTTCCTTAATCTCGAAGAGAGACTGCGGAGCTTTATTATATAAACTTAAGACGAGACGTAAAATCGTTTTAATCATCTTTTTTCTCTTCTTGTTTTACGTGTGTGCGGATGTTTTTTTTACAACCTTTTTATAAGACATACTTTTTGTATTTTATTAGATATAATAAGATAGAGAATAGTAGCGGCGATAAAGAATGATAAAATAAAAAGAAGAAATAAAATTAAGTAAAAGGGGAAGAAAATCGCGATATTTATCGTTTTAAATATTTATATTTAACAGCTGCGATAAAATTACGCGATGGCGATATGTAATAAATAGGAACGCATTTTTTTTTTATTTCTGGCAAAATTAATCTTGTTTTTTATATAATAAGACAAGACGAAAATATTAATTTTTGTATTGTTTCTGTGTGAATTTCAGGGCTGTCACGGATCCGAGGGATGGCAGGAGAGTAGCCTTAAAAAAACTGCCGAACGTCTTTCAAAGTCTCGTGAGTAGCAAGCGAGTCTTCAGGGAACTGAAAATGCTTTGCTTCTTCAAACACGATAACGTAAGTGGTATTATTTATTGCGTCAGTATCAAAAGTATGATCGATGTGAACATGGTAACATAACAGAGACAGGAAAATATCCTATAACGGAAATACGGCGGATGAAAAAGAAAATAAAAGACGCGATTCTTTTATATAGATATAAATATTATTGGATTTCTACGCGTAGCTTTCTAAGACTTTATAATAAATTGACTGATTATACAATATTATATTATTATTGCGATTATTGAATGGTAATTATGAAATATTTTTTAATTTGATTATTAAATTAAGTTTTCAAACTTTCATAATTATCTAAATATTTTTAGCTGTCCATATATTGCAACCTGAAATTTAGTTATCGTGCCTAAATTTTAGCTATGGTAACTAATATTTTTAGCCATAGCTTAACGGAGAATGTTATATCTGAAAAATATTAGTTGTCATAGCTAAAATTTAGCTAATTTTTTTTCCCGTGTGTATTTTACAGAAATTACTTAAATAATCACTATAATAATAAATAATATACAACTAGCAAGTAGTAATTCTTGTTTGATACATGTTTCGTCGTAAACAAATTATATATACGATTTAGAATGAAATATATTTGAACGAACGTTAGATCCTCTTTTTCTCTCTCATGTAAGTCGTGTACCGGAAATTTCCGCGTTTTATTTCCCCGAGGATCGCGCGTCGTCTTTTCCCTCGCAGCTTCCGGCTGCTAGATTCCGGTGCATTTTTGCACGAGAAAGCGGGATCGATTGCGCTATCTCTCTTTCCTTCTCTCTCGTCCAGTCAAAGGACGAGATACTCAATCGTTTCCTGTTTCTTTTCTTTTTGCAGGTGCTTTCCGCGCTGGACATCCTTCAGCCGCCGCATCTGGACTTCTTCCAAGAGATGTATCCTTTTTTTAAACACTCGCATTCGAGGACGCGCGCAAGATAAATCTCGGTAGAGAGATTCTGGACAGGTAAATTCTCTTGTTGACGATCGAGCTGTTTTTTCCACTTTTTCTCGATTCTTCGAATTATTCGTCGAGGTTTTAATACGTATTTTTTTTTTTTTTTTTTTTTCACAATTAAAGTAAAAGTAAAACTTTCGGGGAAAAAAAAAACAAGAAAAATTAATTTATTAAGCCGATTTAATCTGAAACTTTTGAATTATTTTTTTGTCTTGCGGGAGTTTACAGAGTGTAAGGTTGCTTCTTCTACTCTCTGTAAATTTTTCTAGACTTTAGTGGAAGAGTCACTCTCTCACGCAACGCTCGATCTCTCGAAACGAGTGTCTCGAACGATGCGGAAACTTTTAATCGTCGAGCAATTAAAACTCGCGCCGGTCACGATTCCTCTTCGAATCGTCCCTCCGGCAAGAGAATTTGTCAGAGAGGAGAAACTTTTTCACGCTATTTCGAGTAATTGCCGTTCGACAAAATCTACATTCTCTCTGACAAAGCTTTATTCTTTCCCGTTTTCACATTATTTTCACATATACGTAATTTATCGAGATTTTTTGAAAACTTATTAAACGAGATATTCTCCGAAAAAGCATTTCTTATTTTCTCCAAAATATTTCGTATTGACGCAAAAGGAAATTGCATTTTACAAGATCGCCTCGCGAAAAAGAATTCCTCGAGTAGAGTAGACGTTACAAGATAGTTTTCCGGTCGACGGCGAAACAGGAAACTTTTTGCGATATAGTCAGGGCGCGAAATTCCTGCGGGATTACTCGTTTCCTCGCAAACCGTTCTGATTCATGATCAATCGATCGATCGATCGATCGAGGGGTCCTTAAAGGAACAGGATCGTTCGGAGCTAATCTCGATCTCAAGGCAACGAGAACTATAACTCAGCCCTTTTACGTTCTCCTTCATCTCTTCTCTCTCTCTCTCACTCTCTGCCTCTTTCCGGCAACTCCAGTTCGCGCTCTGTCGCATATCGAACCTCTTAGTAATTACGTAAATCATTATTAGCAATTGGCGCAGCTATATTATGGCCTCGCGATTACCCTCGTTCTTTCTCTATTTCTTTATTTTTTATTTTTTTTTTTTTGCTACAACTCGTTCTAATCCTCCCTTTTAGAATTGCAACGCTTAATATTTTTTATAACAAACTGAAATTATTTTGCCTGAACGAGAAAAGCTTTTTTTCATACGAATAAATAAATGACTGAACAAAATGAAAGTAAACATATACAAAAATAAATTGACTAGTGACTCTAGTTACTATAAAAGCAAATAGGCAAATAAATAAATAAATAAATAAATAGATATAAATTTATCAATAAACAAATGGATAACCAGGAAGATAAACATTATCACGTATCCATCGATAAATAGACAAACAAATGAAGAAATTAATAAACGAAATTCGGCGGTCGCGGATCGATAAATTTTCTCGCAGCGAGAGCTATATGACATTAATTGACGGCAAATAAATAATCGGGACGAAAATTGCGCGACTGCGGAATATCCAGCCGATGGATATCTGTACCGGTGACTTTTTATCTCCCTCCCCTCCGCTCCCCGCGATTTAATTCCGCGACCCCCCGCAGCTGGCGATCGATTCTAATTTCGTCCGCATGAAAAATTCAGCTCGGCGCCCCAGCGTCAAAGTTCGGAGCGCGCAGTATGTGGCCGCCTAATTTCTAATTAAGGAGCGACTCGCGATTGACTTGCGCAGCCACGAACACGGAAATCACCGACCGGGATACAGACGATACCGTAGAGGCCAAAAAAGATGTCAGTATTTATATTGAGTATTTTCCTCGCGCAATTACGTTCTCAAATGCAACCTTCGTCTAATTTTTTATTTCTCTCTTCTTATGTTGCTGCATATTTTTTTATATAATTTTATTTCATATATAGGATGTTTATACATATTATACATTTATATATTATTATGTTTCAAATCTTAAACATTAAAATTGATATCCCGAAGTAAAGTAAGAGAAATAAACGCCCAATTAAGAAATCGGCAGAGATCGCCAAGAAACAAGGCGTATTCTGTCTCAATTTGTCCACAATTTCACATTTATGAGCTATGGGTTTCAAATCTTAAAAATTAAAATTGATATCCCGAAGTAAAGTAAGAGAAATAAACGCCCAATTAAGAAATCGGCAGAGATCGCCAAGAAACAAGGCGTATTCTGTCTCAATTTGTCCACAATTTCACATTTATGAGCTATGGGTTTCAAATCTTAAAAATTAAAATTGATATCTCGAAGTAAAGTAAGAGAAATAAATGCCCAATTAAGAAATCGGCAGAGATCGCCAAGAAACAAGGCGTATTTTGTCTCACAATTTCACATTTATGAGCTATGGGTTTCAAATCTTAAAAATTAAAATTGATATCTCGAAGTAAAGTAAGAGAAATAAATGCCCAATTAAGAAATCGGCAGAGATCGCCAAGAAACAAGGCGTATTCTGTCTCAATTTGTCCACAATTTCACATTTATGAGTTATGGGTTTCAAATCCTAAAAATTAAAATTGATATTTCGAAGTAAAGTAAGAGAAATAAATGCCCAATTAAGAAATCGGCAGAAATCGCCAAGAAACAAGGCGTATTCTGTCTCACAATTTCACATTTATGAGCTATGGGTTTCAAATCTTAAAAATTTAAATTGATATCCCGAAGTAAAGTAAAAGAAATAAATGCCCAATTAAGAAATCGGCAGAGATCGCCAAGGCGTATTCTATCTAAATTTGTCTACAATTTCACATTTATGAGCTATGGATTTGAATGATTTATCGTGATATATGTTAGTTTCGGTTCTGCTTGATTAATATATCGGGTAGAAAAATCCAAACCACGATTTCCATCCGAGATATATATAGGGAGAGGGCGAGTGACGGTCGGACGCCATGAATACGCCATGGCGCGCACCCGGGATGAGTTTGCTCGATGGTAATTATATGGATTATTAATGCGCACACCGCAGCGCGCCATTGATACGTCGATAGTGCGCCATTAGCGGAGCGACCGCCGCCCATCGTACGTTTACATACTGTCGCGTGTAACTGATAACTGCAACTTCCTCGTAGAACATCGTCGCGCGAATACGATATGTCGCTCATTGTCACTCCGCGATTATCGTCCTAATTTGCGCGCCGTTCTTAATTTCTCTCATATATCCCCTCTTAATTATGCTTCGCTACTCGTCGGGATGTACGTGATATTATAATCGTTATTTAGAAATTACACGTGTACACAATACGTAATTTTACATTTAATATGTATATATTATGATAATATAATGCAGTGATATATGATATTATGATCGAGTTAATTAATATCAGTAATTCATATTATCATAATCAATGTATAGGTATAATGCATAAAATTAATTAACATCGAAAATGTATTAAACTTGATACAACATATATATTATTTTCTTTTCATGTATTTATTATAATGAACTGTATCTTATCGATCTTTGTTTCGATAATTGCGCGACAGTGCGACATAGTAATTTTTTGTACAATTTCGAGATGCACGAGAGAGAGAGAGTGAAAAGTGAATCTTTCACGATAAATGCGACAAATTTTCATATAGATTTGGAGGAAACACGCGAGAGATGGAATCTCTCTCGTCCGCGCGATATTACGGTCCGTTTGATTCACAGAGAAAGCGCATAGAGGCAATCGTGTCCCTTTGAAACGACGTGGGTTCGATTACATTAACAATGGCATTAACAAAACACGTGTTTTACCGAGCGTGGAGGAGACACGTAATATGCATACACGAAAGAAAAGAAGGCCCGCATGTGCGGCGTTCTCTCGATCATTTGTGTTCGTCCGTATCGCGCATCGGGAAAAACGATACGGTCGGGAAAAAAAATGTCAAACCCCGCTGCGGTTGTCATTATGCACACACACGTGCGTAATGGGTTACGACGATTAACGAATGTCGGGAATTAAACGAGACTTGAGTTTTTTGCTTTTTCAATTTTAAACACAGAGAAAATTTATTCTTAGAATTTATTTAGCTGAAAATTACGGTAATTGAGGGACAAAATGGTGTCGAAAGAATTTTATAAGTTTCTCTGGTTATTAATTATTTTTTTAACATTATTTTAAATTATTAATATTTATATGCCACTATAAAACACATAAATATGATTCGATTAATTTTATTATGTATACATATTAATATTTTTTATTGTGATATTAATCTTAAAAAAAATAATTAATAATCAGAGAAACTCTTCTAAAATTTTTCCAATACCCCATATTGTTTCACGATTACCTTGATTTTCAAGATGAATTCTAAGAGAAAATTCTCTCTGTGTATCTCTCTGTTACTATTTTTTTATATAAAAATATAATAATTTTTATATAATATTTTATACGAGATATTTTGAAGATATTACATATCATCAAATTGAATCAAATATTCTGTACATTTCCCAAATCAAATAAATCTTGATTTAGCATTCTTCTTTTCTATAAAGTATATATGAAAATATTTTTGTTGCACTATGAAGCATAAAATGAGAGAAAAAGCTTCTTGATTAAGGAGTTGTGATTGATGATAATTCGACTTTTCCTCCTATCTTGGATTCGCAAGCTGAGCTTTTCTTCGAGACTCGAATTACAGAGGTTTTAATTGCACGCAAGGTCGGTTACACGTCGAGCTCGCGTTTGACGGTTTGATTTAAGTTCTCCGCAAACTAATTTTACTTCTCCCTTTTACTCGCGAAAATCCTTTGTCTTCCTTCCAAGTCAACAAGTCCTCGTTTAGACGATGTTCTCGTAGGATATATTCGCAAGGAAACTACTATCCCTTGTATAGCCCCGGGTCCGCGATATTTACTCCATTACTAATACTGACCCTAATAATTAATCGAAATTTCCGATACAGCTCAATTTCCATTATTACGCAACACGCAAGTTCTTCGAAT